GTAAATAACATAGCTATGATGATAACAGATATTATCTGACAGTTTACTTAGCCATTTCCCTAGCTAGCTAGTATGCTAGCTATACTCAATCTATCCTTACCTCAGAACCCGAGACGTGAGAGAGATCTTCCCAGAAGGATGAATGACCGATAGTAACCTCCAACAGAGGCGACAACCCGGAAATGTTACGTCATATGAGTCCATCTCTCATAACCAATGAGAATGGGTCTGAAGAACATGTTTATTTGATGATAGTTTCATTGAAAAATTGAAGGAAAAAATGTGTCACACTTTATACGCATATCAACCAGTTATAAGTAATTAATCTCATCTGACTCTAGTTTACCATTGTGAATTAGGTGGGTCATAATTTAATACATAATCCCTGTAGACTAGGCAACACATCATTGTACTGTATGAAATATAGATGTGAGATAAGTCCCCAATCAGACATTGCATGCATTACCACTGTATTATTAATCTCCCACATCCTTTGAAAACAGCAAAAATGTGTGTCTAAATTGCTTTAAGAAATAGTAAATACAGTCAGAAGATTGGAGTTGTACCAGTATATAGTAATATTAATTCAAATAAGGCTATATGAATGTTATGGTATCTGAAGAAGACACCTTTGTACAGTTGTGTGTTGACGAGTTTGGAGACTGAACATGCTGCTTTATGGTGTGATATGGTCATCATTATACAATATATGGGTCAGATAATAAGAGCTCAAGTAATAATCAGAGTACTCAGCTTCATAAAACATATACACTACCAGTCAAAAGTTTGGACACACCTACTCATTCAAGGGTTTTTCTTTATTGTTACTATTTTTCACATTGTAGAATAATAGTGAAGACATCAAAACTATGAAATAACACATATGGAATCATGTAGTAACCAAAAAAGTTTTTATCAAATCAAAATATATTTGAGATTTGAGATTCTTCAAATAGCCACCCTTTGCCTTGATGACAGCTTTGCACACTCTTGGCATTCTCTCAACCAGCTTCACCTGGGATGCTTTTCCAACAGTCTTGAAGGAGTTCCCACATATGCTGAGCACCTGTTGGCTGCTTTTCCTTCACTCTGCGGTCCAACTCATCCCAAACCATCTCAATTTGGTTGAGGTCGGGGGATTGTGGAGGCCGGGTCATCTGATGCAGCACTCCATCACTCTCCTTCTTGGTAAAATAGCCCTTACACAGCATGGAGGTGTGTTAGGTCATTGTCCTGTTGAAAAACAAATGATAGTCCCACTAAGCCCAAACCAGATGGGATGGCGTATCGCTGCAGAATTCTGTGGTAGCCATGCTGGTTAAGTGTGCCTTGAATTCTAAATAAATCACAGACAGTGTCACCAGCAAAGCACCCCTACAACATAACACCTCCTCTTCCATGCTTTACGGTGGGAAATACACATGCAGAGATCATCCGTTCACCCACACCGCGTCTCAAAGACACGGAGGTTGGAACCAAAAATCTCAAATTTGGACTCCAGACCAAATAATACATTCCTCCATTTCCTAATGTCCATTGCTCGTGTTGTATTTGGGCTACAATTTCTGAGGCTGGTAACTCTAATGAACGTATCCTCTGCAGCAGAGGTTCTTGAAATGTTCCATATTGACTGACCTTCATGTCTTAAAGTAGTGATGGACTGTCATTTCTCTTTGCTTATTTGAACTTGCCATAATATGGACTTGGTCTCTCCCCCCCCCCCCCCCCCCCCCCCCACCTTGTCACAACACAACTGATTGGCTCAAACGCATTAAGAAGGAAATAAATTCCACAAATTAACTTCTAAGAAGGCACACCTGTTAATTGAAATGCATTCCACGTGAATACCTCATGAAGCTGGTTGAGAGAATGCCAAGAGTGTGCAAAGCTGTCATCAAGGCAAATGGTGGCTATTTGAAGAATCTCAAATATAAAATATTTTCATTTGTTTAACACTTTTTTGGTTAATACATGATTCCATATGTGTTATTTCATAGTTTTGATGTCTTCACTATTATTCTACAATGTAGAAAATTGTAAAAATAAAGAAAAACCCTTGAATGAGTAGGTGTGTCCAAACTTTTGACTGGTACTGTACATCAAACCAAAATAGCAAGCAATAAATGCAATGCCAGTCCTTTGACTATTTAATGGGGTGAGAAATGACTGAAACTTGCATAGACACCAATTGCCTACACATTTTTGCATGACCTGTAACATTTCTGTGGGAAATGGTGATAGGAACATTACATGTGGATAATGGCTAAGAAAATGGTCAAAATAAGCCTTCAAAATCAATTGTATACATTCTGGGAAATTACAGTGCCTTCAGTGCCTCAACCTTGTCCACATTTTGTTGTTACAAATTGGGATTAGAATGGATTAGTCTTTAATTTTTGGGGGGATCTACACCAAAATACTCTAATATCAAAGTGGAAGAACAATTCAATAAAAAATTGATTAATGAAAAATAAAACACTAATAAATCTTGATTAGATAAGTATTCAACCCCCTGAGTCAATACATATTATAATCACCTTGGGCAGCGATTACAGCTGTGAGTCTTTTTGGACAAGTCTCTAAGAGTTCTGCACACCTGGATTGTACAATATATGCACATTATTCCTTTTTAAACTCTTCAAGCTCTGTCAAGTTGGTTGTTGATCATTGCTAGACAGCCATTTTCATGTGTTGTCATAGATTTTCAAGCCGATTTAAGTCAAAACTGTAACTAGGCCACTCAGGAACATTCAATGTTGTCTTGGTAAGCAACTCCTGTGTAATTTGGCCTTGAGTATTAGGTTATTGTCTTGATGAAAGGTGAATTTGTCTCCCAGTGTCTGTTGGAAATCAGACTGAACCAGGTTTTCCTCTAGGATTTTGCCTGTGCTTAACTCTATTCTGTTTATTTTTTTAACTCCCTAGTCTTCGCCGATGATGAGCATATCCATAAGATGCAGCCACCACCATGCTTGAATATATGAAGAGCTCCATGGGATATTCAATGTTTTTGTTTTTGATTTACCCATCTACCACTAGTTGGCCTTCTTTGCAAGGCATTGGGAAACCTCCCTGGTCTTTGTGGTTGAATCTGTGTTTGAAATTCACTGCTCGACTGAGGGAACTTACAGATAATTGTACGTGTGGGGTAAAGAGATGAGGTAGTCATTCAAAAATCATGTTAAACACTATTGCACATAGAGTGAGTCCATTCAACTTATGTGAGTTGTTAAGCACATTTTTTTCCTGAACTTATTTAGGCTTGCCATAAAGGGGTTGAATACTTATTGACAAGATATTTCAACTTTTCATTAAATTGTAAAAATGTCTAAAAACATAATCCCACTTTGACATTATGGGGTATTGTATGCAGGCCAGTGACACAAAATCTCAATTTAACCCATTTTAAATTCAGGCTGTAACATAACAAAATGTGGAAAAAGTCAAGGGGTGTGAATACTTTCTGAAGGCACTGTACTTCTGGCCAAACTGAGAAATTCTTGTTTCCAGTCATGGGCTCCCGAGTGGCGCAGCGGTCTAAGCACTGTACCCTGGTTCGATTCCAGGCTGTATCACAATCCGGCCATGATTGGGAGTCCCATAGGGCGGCGCACAATTGGCCCAGCGTCGTCCGGGTTTGCCTGGGGTAGGCCGTCATTGTAAATAAAAATGTATTCTTAACTGACTTGCCTAGTTTAAAAAAAATAAAAAAGTCAGATTTTTCATTGTGTTACAAACTAACCCATTACAGGGTTTGGTATTGTTGTTGCTAGCCCACCACAGTACAACTCTGTACTACAGAATAAAACTCTTTTTTAAAACTTGCATTTATGAATTATATACACATTACATACAACTTCCAATGTCAAGAATACACTATAGAAAAGAGAATTGTTCAAAATAAACATTTGTTTTAACTAGCCAGTTATTTTCACCATTTGTTTCAACATTGTTTTACAAGACAAATCCTAAAAAACACCACTAAACAGTGACATACATTTTCAATCATGTAGGTCAGGGTTTCCCAAACTCTGTCATGGTGCCCCCCATGTGCACGTTTTGGTTTTTTCCCTAGCACTACCCAGCTGATTCAAATAACCAACTCATCATCAAGCTTTTACTATTTGAATCAGCTGTGTAGTGCTTGGGCAAAAACCAAAATGTGAGTTTGGTAAACCCTGATGTAGGTGACAGCTAATCAGGGATAACAACCTTTTCAGAAATAATATTTCACTAATTAATTATCTCACTGAGCCGACGGTACAGTTGAATTGTCATTAATTGAATTTCAGGATCACCAGTTCTAATGTCAATTGCTTTCAAAAAGAAGCTTAGGGGAATATCAAGTTTCCCCTCAGAGTAAGATTGTTTTCCCTTTTTCACAAGGTTTTTATACTTTTCCTCTGTCACAGCCGGAGAATCGCTGTTGTTGTCGACACCATCCACAGTCTGCTATGTGGCATCTTTGCCACTGGCACATTGGTCAATTCTTTCACTAGAAGCAAGTTCAGGATCACCGGTAGATTCCTCCAAATAACTTTCTTCTTCCTCTCCCATTTCAGATTCTTCAGCAACATACATTGACTCACTTCCACCTTCCTCACCTCCCTCTTCGGTCTCAGTGTTGAAGGTCTCCTATGTGTGTTCACCCTTTTCCGTGGAACCCTCCTTTCCGTGGAACCCTCCTCTCCTCATGAGATCAGTCACCTCACTTGCCTCACAAGATCCAGTTACCTCACTTTCGTCACTTGCATCATCAATGTGCACCTGTGAAACCTCTGTAGCTCAGCTGGTAGAGCACGGCGCGTGTAACGCCAAGGTAGTGGGTTCGATCCCCGGGACCACCCATACACAAAAAAAATGTATGCACGCACGACTGTAAGTCGCTTTGGATAAAAGCGTCTGCTAAATGGCATATTATTATTATTATTTTATTATTAAACCTCAGCTTCCATGTCCTCATCGAGGTCTTCCACATCCTCAAGCACAGAATCCACAAACTAACGTCTTGAGGCCACAGAGGTATTCCCTCCAATGCTTTTCCTGGCTTTAAAGGAACTGGATCCAGATTTGACTGATTTTGGTGTGGAGGATCCCACGCCTTTTAATGATTTATCCAATTCAGTGCTCATCAAATGAGGCCTTTCATCTTCCTCAACATCATCCTCTGCACTATCGTAAATTACTGCTGCTCTTTTCTTTTTCCTGACAGAAGTAATGAACGAGTTCTCTACAGTGTCGTCTGCTTTAGAAACAGGAGAGTTGACATCATGGACATCTGCTACATTCTGTTCAACAGCTCCATTCACAGAGGGCTCGTCATCTACATTTAAGCTGACATCCATCTCTAGCTGGAAACCTGAATTCCTTTCGACATACTCGGATTCCTTCTCTGAAAACATATCACTAGCACTGTCCTCCAACTGTAGATTAGCAGACGCTCTTATCCAGAGCGACTTACAGTTAGTGAGTGCATACATTATTTTAATTTTTTTTCATACTGGCCCCCCGTGGGAATCGAACCCACAACCCTGGCGTTGCAAACACCATGCTCTACCAACTGAGCTATATCCCTGCCGGCATTCCCTCCCCTTCCCTGGACGACGCTGGGCCAATTGTGCGCCGCCCCATGGGTCTCCCGGTCACGGCCAGCTACGACAGAGCCGACAGAGTCTCTTCAAGAGACTTGTCTATGGGAGAATGATGGTTGCTCTTTATTAACTTTTCCTCAGTCGCAATTGTCACAGTGGGTCCCATAATCTCAATGATTTCATCTACAGCTAGATCAATTAATTTGTTACTCAGATTGTGGATATCTTCCTCGTCACCAGACCCAGACCGGGTAAGATCCACCAACGCAGTGGAGTTGTGGTTATGCCTAGGAGAGGAGGGACTGGGCATTTCCATTGGCTTCTTCTCAGTTGACCCCACTGTATTGTGTTGAGGGGGTTTCCGCAGCCATGCCGGCTCTGTGTTTGACTCAATGCTCTCAGCAAGCTGCGGATGCAAGTCAGACTCAGCCTTCATCAGCTCCTGAGCTTTCTGCACCCTGTTCTCTGTGTACTGATGAGCTTCCTGATCCTCAGGGTCATCATTGTTGTTTTCTACTTCATGTGAGAACATGAGGTCATGATCAGAGATTCCAAATATCTCCATGGAGTGAAGATGGGTGATGTGTTCATCCAATTTTGGATCTGTGCGTCTGCCTCGAGTGCAGTGACTGTAGCTGCAGCTGTGTTGACGAGGATCGAGTGTCTTTCAGATCTTGTTTGCTGAAGTACCGGAATGGATTTGTTTTGTCCCCGGTAGTCTGTCGGATCAAGGAATATTTGAACACCTGCCATCTGTAGATCTTCTCCTCCACTGTACCACAAGTGATCAGTCAGTAGATGACAACGTTCTCAGTTTGTCCAATGTGGTAGGCCCTGTCAACATCCTGGGCATCAGTGGCTGGATTCCAGCTGGGGTCAAAAATAACTACTCTGTTTGCTGCTGTCAACGTGATGCCGACTCCTCCCACTTGGGTGGTTAGGAGAAAGACAGAGTATTGCTTATTGGTCTGGAACAGTTGGATGCGCCTCTCTCTTTCTGTGAGGTGAGTTACTGTGCCATCAATTCTCATGATCTTGAAATGCTTGTTTACCAGAACCCGTTCAAGGATGTCCAACATCTTCCTTGACTGTGAGAAAACAAGTGTACGATGGCCTTCTTCCTTAAGCCTTTCCAAAAGTGCAATGAGAAACATCAGCTTTCCAGATTCGGATATTAGCGTTTCATCAGATATGTTGTTAATTCTGTGTGCAGCAGACTCATTTTCATCCTCTTGATGGTTTGCGCTTGTTCCTTCTTCTAGGCCTAACTGAGCGACAGCCCTGGCGGAGAGAAGTCTTGGGTGGTCACACAACTTCTTCAGGATATTCAGTTCAGTCAACGGTGTCCTGGTGGTCATCAGCAGCTCCTTGATGTTATCCAGGGATAAGAACTGATTGTAGATGTCCTCCTGAACTGAGCTCAAGTACGTCCAGATGATCCCACTTGGGACTTTGTTTTCCTTGTTTTCTGACTCCAAGTCCTTTCACAGGCTTTTACACGGTTTTGCGTTTTTCGCTGTACTTCTGCCTTGGTACTCCTTAGGAGGTATGGATTTATGATGGCCATGAGGTTCTCTGACATCTTGAGCCCCAGGGCTTTCTCACCTGGGGTATCATCCTTCTCTCTTGCACGGGTGATGGGATTGTCATACTCTGTTTTGAAGGTTTTAGACATACCAAGCGAAATCAAAAAGAGCCCACATTTCTTTCAGGTTATTCTGTACAGGTGTGCCTGTAAGTAGTACACGATTCCTGGCAGGAATAGCATGCACACTTTTGGCTGTCTTGGTTGACGAGGTTTTGATCTTGTGTGCCTCATCCAGGATTGCATAATCCCATTTGAATTATCTGCCATTGTAAAATGAGAGAAGCTCCCAGTTGGTGATCAGCATTTGGTATGTAGTGATGATGACACCACCTATTCTTTGAATCTTCTACAAGTTCCTGTTGCGTTCCACTTTGCTTGTGCCATGAAACTCTTTGACTCTCATTCCAGGAGTCCATTTGGAAAATTCCTTGGTCCAGTTCTTGAGGAGTGAGGTTGGCATGACAAGCAGGGTATGCTTTACCAAGTTAGCATCATACATACCAGAGAGAAACAATATAACCTGAATGGTCTTCCCTAAGCCCATGTCATCAGCTAGGATTCCTCCTTCACGACCATCTCTGTGGAGACCATACAAAAAAGCAACCCCCTCTTGCTGATGTTCATACAGTTTGTAATAAAGTTCTTTGAAAAGCATTAGACCGCTGTTGTTGACATTGACAAAATCTTCATCCTCACTCTCTGAGCCTTGCTGTGCCATCTCTTCTATAGCCTCCTGAAGTGTCTTTATCCTGCTCCGAATTTTATCACTAGGGTAGATGTCATGGGCCAGCTTAAACAGTTCTAATGATTTTGACATGTTTCCTTGTCTGGCAGAATCTTTTCCATCCTTGATGTACCTTTAAATGAAAGAAAATACTTAAATAGAAGAAGTCAGTGATAATCTATACTGAACAAAAAACGCAACATGCAACAATTTCAACGATTTAACTGAGTTACAGTTCATTTAAAGGAAATCCATCAATTGAAATAAATAATGAGGCCCTAATCTATGGATTTCACATGACTGTGCAGGGGCACAGCTATGGGTGGACCTGGGAGGGCATAGGCCCACCCACTGGGGAGCCAGGCCCACCCAATCAGAATAAGTTCTTCCCCACAAAAGGGCTTTATTACAGACAGAAATACTCCTCAGTTTCATCAGCTGTCCAGATGGCTGGTCTCAGACGATCCCGCAGGTGAAGAAGCTGGATGTGGAGGTCCTGGGCTGCCGTGGTTACACGTGGTCTGCGGTTGTGAATCCATAGATGAGGGCCTAATGAATTTATTTAAATTGACTGATTTCCTTCTATGAACTGTAACTCAGTAAAATCTTTGAAATTGTTGCATGTTGCATTTATTTTTGTTCAGTGCATTTGGAAAGTATTCAGACCCCTAAAATTGATTAAATTGTTTTTTCCCCCCTCATCAATCTACACACAATACCCCATAAAGACAAAGCAAAAACGGAAATATCACCTTTACATAAGTATTCAGACCCTTTACTCAATACTTTGTTGAAGCACCTTTGGCAGCAACTACAGCCTCGAGTCTTCTTGGGTATGACGCTTAAAGCTTGGCACACCTGTATTTGGGGAGTTTCTCCCATTCTTCTCTGCAGATACTCTCAAGCTCTGTCAGGTTGGATGGGGAGCGTCGCTGCACAGCTATTTTCAGGTCTCTCCAGAAATGTTAGCTCTGGCTGGGCCACTCAAGGACATTCAGAGATTTGTCCCGAAGTCACTCCTGCGTTGTCTTGGCTGTGTGCTTACGGTCTTTTTCCTGTTGGAGGTCCTGAGCGCTCTCTCTGTACTTTGCTCTGTTAATCTTTCCCTCGATCCTGACTAGTCTCCCAGTCCCTGCCGCTGAAAAACATCCCCACAGCCTGATGCTGCCACCACCATAGGGATGGTGTAAGGTTCCCTCCAGACGTGACGCTTGGCATTCAGGCCAAAGAGTTCAATCTTTGTTTCATCAGACAAGAGAATCTTGTTTAGGTGCCTTTTGGCAAACTCCAAGCGGGCTGTCATGCCTTTTACTGAGGAGTGGCTTCCGTCTGGCCACTCTACCATAAAGTCCTAATTGGTTCTTGGGGACCTTCAGTGCTGCAGAAATGTTTTGGTACCCTTCCCCAGATCTGTGCCTCGACATAATCCTGTCTCGGAGCTCTACGGACAATTCCTTCGACCTCATGACTTGGTTTTTGCTCTGACATGCACCGTCAACTGTGGGACCTTATATAGACAGGTGTGTGCCTTTCCAAATAATTTCCAATCAATTGAATTTACCACAGGTGGACTCCAATCAAGTTGTAGAAACATCTCAAGGATGATCAATGGAAACAGGATGCACCTGGGCTCAATTTCGAGTCTCACCGCAAAGAGTCTTAATACTTATGTAAATAAGGTATCTGGTTTTTTTGTAGTAATACATTTGCAAAACTTTATATAAACCTGTTTTCGCTTTGTCTTTATGGGGTAGTGCGTGTATATTGATGAGGAAATATTTTATTTAATCCATTTTAGAATAAGGCTTTAATGTAACAAAATGTGGAAAAGGGGAAGGGGTCTGAATACTTTTCGAATGAACCGTATGTATGTATGTTTATATATATCATAATATAAGCCATTTAGCAGACACTTATCCAAAGCGACTTATCCAAATTATGTTTGTTTTTTTGGGGGGGGGGGCTTCAGAAATTACTCACCCTAGACTTCGTTTCAAATAGCATAATTTGCAAGAAAACGACAGACATGGCAACCATGCTGGTTCCTCCCACTAAAATGATTTTTCCTTCCTATTTGACAATACACAGCGCATGTGCAAAGTCGAAACATATGATTGATTGGTTTGAAAGATAGCTATAGCGGGGAGAACCGTTGCCCATTCAAAGTACAGATGAACGTGAAACGCAGAGTCCCAATGCAACATCCAGACGACAAAGAAATTAAATAATCCGGTTCGATTTGTGTGGATTATTTAATTTCTTTGTCGTCTGGATGTTGCATTGGGACTCTGCAGGGTTGCCATGTCCGCCATTTTCTTGCAAATTAGGCTATTTGAAACGAAGTCTAGGGTTAAAATGTATTGGTTGCGGGTTTGTGGGCTACTTTTAAGTTGCACCGTGGCCACCATGGCGTTTCTCAACAACAACAACAACAACAACAAATATATATTTCACTGTGACCCAGGCAGTGAGCAGGCTGTTACTTAGTGAGTGGTGGGGAGGGGTACGGGCCGGAGGTGTGTATGTTGAGAGCACTGTTTGAGAGAGCGCTGCAGCAGGCAGCTGAGTCACGGAGACAGAGCAGCGCGCGCGTACGTCGTGACAACTTTTTTTTAACCAGTTATAGGTAGGTTATTTCGATTGGTCATGATGGAGACAACTATTTCCAACCACTTTTCCATAAAACATATTAACGAGCTAGAACTGATATAACGGCGACAAAGCACTGGAAAACGACTTCAGGCGCACTAGAGCGCTTTCGATTAATTCGTTCAGAGGTGGTTTAAAGTAAACTGCATTCTAATGTCGACTTTTCTTATGGAAAACCTTATCAAGCGAAGTGTTTTATGCATGCTCAGTTATTGGGTCTCGAGCACTGGCGAATGTATATTTGAAATGGAAGTTGTGGAACTTGCGTGCTTCTGTTATGGGAAAAAGTCCACAATGAAACTGATATTAAATGTGGAGAATATAGATTTGCATCTGTTGGCCATCAAGTAGGCTATTAATTTCAATGCCATTGTAGGCTACTGTAGCCTACCATTTGATACAATAAATATGTTGAAATGACGATATCACTGGAGTCATTGCAAATCAATTTGTGCCACTTGTGTAGCCTACCTGGAGCTGGCAAAATGATTTAATAAATAGCCTATAACTTCAGTTTGTTGTTGTAGCCTTGTGTTATTATGCAATTATTAATGGCCATGTTTAGTTAATACAATTGGAAGTTATCAATTGTTTTCATGGTCACAGCTCTATCGCAAATTTATAATTCTCCACATTTAATGTCAGTTTCATTTCCCTGAAATGAGATGTTGATCTATCAGGGGATATAGGCTACCTGCATCTAGCTCAGCAAACCATGGCAAAGTTGAATTTCAATTATAAACCCAGGTTTTAGTTAGTAGCCTATGTCTATTGACATAACAAGTAAATCTCGCAAATGGGCCATTTATAATGGTTTGTAGTCTTAACATCTGGCAAATAATAAGGGCGCAGTTGCCAGAAAATTGCCTAACATAATTTTTTTTAAGTTAGTTTTTTTTTTAACGTTTTGAAGTGTTTCTTGCACAGATATTTCGAGATCCTCTGTCCAACTTTCATCACTCAAACTCTCCTGTCGGATTTATCTATAGTTATGTACATGAGCAAACTGGATTTGTTTACAATTATAAACTGGGTGGTTTGAGCCCTGAATGCTGAGTGGTTGAAACCCGTGGTATATCAGACCGTGTACCACAGGTATGACAAAAAATGACTTAGGTAACCAGTTTATAATAGCAATAAGGCACCTCAGGGGTTTGTGGTATGAGGCCAATATACCAAGGCTAAGGGCTGTGTCCTAAGAACATCCCTTAAATGTGATGTATTGGCCATATACCACACCCCAGGCCTTATTGCTTAATCATAGCAGTCAAAACAAGTTAAATCGACATCCATTGATAGAATATGATCTGGCAAGTTTAATAAGGGCAAATTATATTTTCTCTTGCAACATATTCTTAAACTCACAAAAAGTATTATTTTGATGGAAAACCTAATTTTGCTTCTTAGCCTATGTCGTTACAAATTACTGATATTCCTTCTTAATTGGCTCAATAATGTTATGGAAAAGGGGTTTATTGGATAAATGTGGCAACTCCTCTCTTGCTGCTCAAACATTTTTTTGGGCTAGTTTTCAGGCCTTGTGGGTTTTGAGAGGTCAATAGTCTAGAAATTTCAGTTAGACCTGGCAACCAGACAATTGAAATGAACTGCTCAAAAAATGTGTCTGTAGCTGGGTTTCCATCCAATTGGCGACAGATTTTCATGTGAATAAGTCTGCATAGAAAAAAAGATGTGCATTATCCCACGAGAGGTTTGTTTATGTGCCCAACCGGTAATATACTTGTGTCCAGTGGTGGAAAAAGTGCTCAATTGTCATACTTGAGTAAAAGGGATACCCATTCAACCAAAATGTGTCTTCTGCATTTAACCCAACCCCAATCAGAGAGGTGCGGGGAGCTGCCTTAATCGACGTCATCGGCGCCCAGGGAGCAGTTGTTGTTGAGGGTTAACTGTCTTGCTCAAGGGCAGAACGGAAGATTTTTTCACCTTGCCGGCTCTGGGATTTGAACCAGCCACAAGGTTACTGGACCAATGCTCTAATATTAAAGAAGTCTCGAAGTATTGCTCGACTAAGGTAGAGTACCTCATGATAAACTGTAGACCACACTATCTACCAAGAGAGTTTTCATCTATATTATTCGTAGCCGCCTATTTACCACCACAAACCAGAAGGATTACTTTATCCTATCCCAGGTATTCCTTAAAGAGGTGGGGTTTCAAATGTCTCCGGAAGGTGGTGAGTAACTCCGCTGTCCTGGCGTTGTGAGGGAGCTTGTTCCACCATTGGGGTGCCAGAGCAGCGAACAGTTTTGACTGGGCTGAGCGGGAACTATGCTTCCGCAGAGGAAGGGGAGCCAGCAGGCCAGAGGTGGATGAACGCAATGCCCTCGTTTGGGTGTAGGGACTGATCAGAGCCTGAAGGTATATCCCAACCAGAAGCCATGGATTACAGGCAACATCCGCACCGAGCTAAAGGCTAGAGC